TATATATATATATATATATATATATATATATATATATGTATGTATGATTTTTTGAAAAATAAATACTTTTTTTATAGGAAAGATTTTTCCTATCATATTTTCTCGTTATCTGTGAGCTATTTGTTATATGTTATCGAAAATAAAATCGCAATTAACATTCTTGTTTCGTAATGGGTTAAGAAACTTCGATTTGGTGTTCCTTTCGAATATTAAAGCATATCTCGTATATTTACCATGGCAAAGACATAACAAAGGTAGAGTGCGTTTATTCCGGAAAATGTGGTAGAAAGAAAAACGCGGTGGGAAGATAGAGGAAGAGTTGGGATATTTGTTTTTCATAATCGTAGGTACTTCAGGGAAAATAGAAAACGATGCTTTTCTTCCTGTTTCGGCTTCAAATGTGAACGAGTAAGAGAAGAGAAATAGAAATAGAAAGAGAAAGAGATAGAAGATGTATTTACAACGGCACTCAGCATTGAACGGGAAGGATTAGCAGACGCGGAAAAACAGGATTCGCGCAGTCACTCGTAGGAGATTTCATTTAATTTATGAACGCGCAATTAAGTCAGCGACTTCTTGCGGAGAAATCTACACCGTGGACTACTATCCTCCCTTTTACCTATCTCCTATCTCTTTCTTTGCTATATCCGAAACCCAAAGGAAGATAGAAAGTGAGAAAGAGAGGGAGAGAGAGAACAAAATTTGGAGAAATTCTGCTCTCACTTCGTAAATTACTTCCGGACCATTTCGTTCCTTCACTATCTTTCTGAATATCTTTAGCTTTCTGGATAAGCCCTCTTATATTCTTCATGATAGCTACTGCAGACTAAATGAGTCGTGTTAGCAACGAATTTGAGAATTCCATGTTTTGCATCTAATATGTATACGTATGTAAATATTACTTATTCAATTAAGTTCGTGTAATTGATTCGTCAATAAATTTCATATAACAATTGAAATATATTTGTAATACTGAAATTGAATTGTAGAGAATTATGTATTCGTATTACCGTATTCATGATAAATACAGTATTCAAAAAAAATAGATAGATAAAAGTCGATATAACTTTGTTGGATGAAGAGAGTACGAAAAAGAAGATAAAGAAGAAAATGAAGATCTGTCGTTTCATTTAGCACTCCAGTTTCTAAGATGTTAATTTTCAAGTAAAAGCGGTTGTAATATATGTCAAGATTGGTTCGAAAGAGAAAGGGTGAATGAATTTGTACGATGTTCATTCACGCTCACGGAGAAAGTTATCTTGTAAATTTGTTTCATTCGGTTGCTCTTGCAAACTTGAACCCTACAGAGTTTCGATTAAGTTCTTGGGACACTGATTAATTCCTTACTTTGAGATCCTAATTCGAGACGGAATGATCGCGTTGATAAAACGAAAATGTGGGTTAATATTCCTTAACTCGAAGAAATGATTCTTGCTATTTTCTTAAATGAATTCTTAACTACATATATATATATTTTTATTAAATATTTATTCATATTTTTATATTCTTTCTTTAAAAGTTCTAGTTTTTTTTATGTGATTGTAATGAATACATTTTCTTTAGCCTTCGAGCTTCATAATAAACCAATGTTCCCGATTTTCGTTATAGAAAGGGAATTTCGATAGTCGAAAGATTAATTAATTTATAATGAAAATAACGTCCCTTAGCGGATAACAGGCAACGTTGGACCTCAACGGCAAAGCAATTAGCGTGTGAAAGAGTTATTAATGATTATTTAATCGATGGACTAGCGTGCTTTAGGAATATTACGTTCAGGTGCGCTACGTACGAAAGGTCCGTATGGAACCATTGATTATCCCCAATTTCGCGGTTAAATATGCATTTACAGAAAATATACTCGTGACGAGGTTTGGGGAGAATGTTAATAGAATACGAAATATAAATGATGATACAACGTAAATATTATTTTTGTTTATCATCTACTGTTGATATACAAAATTTTTATCATTTTTCCAATTCTTTCATTTATTTATTTTTTTTTAATTATTTTTTTTTATGATTTTTATCGTTAACGAAAAAAAAAGAAGGGGAAAAGTGAAAAAAAAACAAACTAGAAAAGAAAAACCGAATATAGAAACGTTAGTGTTTATCGATTAAAATGAAATTCGCATCAACGCGAGAGTGTCATGCAAATTCTCATAATAATTCATTTACACTAATTGCTGATCCCAGGACTATCATCGAGACGGGCCTATCTAATACAGCTGCACAATTTAGTTCTATATAAAGCAGTTTGTTGTACTACATTTGTGGTTTGCACTTAGGAATTCATAGCATATACTCACACGTACGAATTCTCTTGATCCCAAGAAACTATCTCAGTCACGACGAAGTAGCCGGAAGTTAGAGAAACCGTAATCGGACTTCCGCTGGTTGCATTCTTAACTAAAACGAGATGTCTCCAGTCAGTACCATCCTCTTGCTTTCTCGGTAATATTAACAAGAAAGAAGTGCCATTTTTGCTGAACAACGGCGTTTCGAATTGTTCCACCCAACCGTTCTCTTCGATGTAGGTCAAAGCCTGAAAAGAATATTTAATTTTATTTTTTTTATACTTTTCTATTTTTCAATTTTTTTTGAAGAAATATATAAATAAACATAATTATTTTCTTAAAAAAAAAAAATTGAGAGAAAGAGAGAGGGATAGAGAAAGTAAGTATGTATTCGATATTTTCAATTTTGCAACTGTACACAAATTTCAATCAAGTCCACTTTATCGAGTTTCTCTTAAAAGGCGAATAAGATTTCCTCCCATCGAAGCAATTTACGGTGGTGGTCTCGTCTGTGTCAAATCATTCCCTCGGATCTCTGTTTAATCGAATAACAGTATTAATTGAAATGTTACAGTTGACAGAACGTGGATTCACGAAAATCAATTAGCGGAACGACGTAAGCAAGCGTTCGTAAACTTATCGACACAACAAACGTTCAAGCAGATATACATATACACACACACACACACACACACATATATATATATATATATATATATATATATATATATATATATATATANATAGATAGATAAACCAAGAAACGTAGGTAGAGAACAGCCTTGCCGTTTCTGATCGCGTAATTTCGTGCTTTCAAATGGGGGTCCTGCCGCCCTTTCCCCTCCCCCCCTTCTATCCGATGGTGAGAAACGAGAAAAGAGAGTAAGCGAGAGAACTAGACGAAGTGTAATTACGCAACATTCGTCTTTGACAGGTCCCACTGTAGCTTTAGAATATCGCAAAGCGAGTTGAGCAAGACTACTAACATCATCACGTACTACGAGAAATGTATACAATTTGTGTGCACATATATATATATATATATATCTTATATACGTATATGTATTCACGTACGTCGCGTTACGTCGTCAAAATTACGACTTCAGTCGCATCCATAAGGGAAGAGAAGGAACGAGAATTGTTGAGGGACGCAAAAGGGTTTCTCTACTGTTGTAAAATTGGCCTCGAAGAGAGCACGGGAACAAGAATAAGGTTTAGAGAGAAAGAGAAAGAGAAATAGAGAGAGAATTGTACTTACCGTTGTACAATTTGGAACGTGGCTGTCAACGTCGCAAAGCCGGAAGTACGCCATATTCTGTACTCTGTTCATCCAAGTTGCGTAAACGTGATTGTCGGTAGGAAAACCAACAGCCGACAATATCCTTTCCACCGACGACAATTCCGGAGGATGCTCGATCTCGATTAACCTTGTGTTACCACGTAACACTTCCTCGAGATCAACGTAGAACAATTTTACGGTAGGATTCGTCGTACCACTCTGAAACGAGATAACAAATTTTTAGTATAAAAAAAGAATCATACAAAAATAAGAAACAAATGAAATTATTTTTTACTAAGAGATGATAAATGATTTATCAATTTGTTGTTTGTTTTTCGCACGGGATAGATGAAAATAATTCTCTACGAACCATTATTTGAATTTCGTTCAATCGATCTCTCTCTTTCTCTTTCTCTCTAACGGGCGAAATTGAAGTCGAAATAATGGGATGCGTCTCTTTAAAAGCGCACTCTCTCACTCAGTGAAAACGGGACGCGTTAGCTCTCACCGATAGAGTGATGTAGTTTTTTTTAATCCCATAGAATGGCCCTTTAAGCAAGCTGCTGTCTCTTCGTCCTTTAAATCTTCTTTCCCGACAAGTAAAATGATTTTTCGTTCGGAAGGAAATCGAGGAGCTTGAAAGAAGAAGAAGGATGAGGATGGGGGATCTTTTTAATGGAAGTCACGTGTTGTTTAAGTCGAGCTGAACGCAGATTGAAAAATCAGTCCGTGATTTTTTATTCTTTTTATCGAACAAGGGAAAAATTGCAAAGTAAGTTTTTATTGAACTATATAATATTATGTATCTCTAGATATATACTACAATACCATTTCGTATATCGTACGTGTTTCGAATAAATAAATCAAATATATAT